TGTAACTCCAGTTCCAGGGGATCCAACAGCCTTTTCTGTCCTCAAAGGGCATTGCATGACACAGGTACACTTACCTACATGCAGGCATAACACTCATACACATAAAATAAATAAATTAATTAATTAAAAATTTTAAGAAAGAGTTCCACAACAACCTGAGATGGTTATAGGACACTATACATTGACCACATTTTATGCACAGGAACAAGAAAGACAAGAGTTCAGCAAGACCTTGAACTCAAATCCAACTCTAAACTCCTTGTCCAGGGTCATCTTTTTTCTGCCTCTCAGAATCTGGAGAAGAAATAGATTTCATAGCTCATTCTCTCCTGGGATGGGGTGCTTGTCCCAGGAGTTTCTAGGTGCACTGACATTCTACCAGCAGCAGCCACAGGTGGGAATATTGTTGCTGTCCCTGACTAAGGGCAGTAATAACTGTCAGATATTCTCAGACTCCTAACCAGCCTCAGTAATTGGCTTTAATTTATTTTTTTTAATTTGGAATTAGAAGCAACTGCTGCCCCAGTGTGTGGGTATCCTTCTCCAGCCGGCTCCCAGAAAAAAAACTAAAATCTCTACTTGTAAAATAGATTGAAAAATAAACAATACTCTGTATAGCATAAAAAGGTTAATTCAAGAAAGGAGCCGTATCTTTTTTTATCCAAAATTCACCTGGTGATATACAGCACTGCCTCTCTCTTCCCACCCCTCATGCCCATTAGCCACTGATACAACTGATTTGATTAGACATGAAGCATAAAAATGTGTTGCCCATGTCTGAGCACTGCCTCCCCCTCTCTCTCTCGCTCCCTCCCTGTGGCTCACCAAGAGATTAACTGTGAAGAAATGCAGGGAAAGATAAGCATGGATGTGCTAGTGACAGGAACATTGTTATAGTTATTTGGGGAAGGTTAGGGTTGGAGTTAGAAGAGCAGGTTTTGTTTGTCTAGGGAGGGCAGATTTATAATACGGGCATTTATGCAAGGGGCCTAGCTGTGCCAGGCATGTAAGGACAGGGAAGCTTCCAATTGGCTCCAACTAGGTGATCGTCACTGCCATTCCAGACAAGCAAAGACTGAAGACTGTGTGTGGCATAGATAAAGCATGGGAGAGTCTGCTGCCCTCACAGAGGGAAAAGGGGAGACTCTGATCTCAATTTTAAATATACTGAGCAAGTAATGCCAATCATATTCCTGTCCTAAGTAAACAGGGAACCAGGAGTCTATAGCCATAATTGTTACATGTATCAGGTAGTACAGTCTTGGTGTGGTGGGAAATATGTGTGCTTACTAGTCAGACAGTAGTGTACAGCAATAGCACAGTATTGGTATATAGGACGTGCTTGACATATGATACTTTGGGAGCATCTGAGTGACTTTTTAATTTTAAGTGTATGAGTATTGTACCTGCATGTATGTAAGTGCACCTGTGTCATGCAGAGCTCATGGGTGACAGAAAAGGATGTCAGATTCCCTGGAATTAGAGTTACAGATGGTTGTTGGCCACCATGTGGGTGCTGGGATTCAAACCTGGGTCTTCTGCAACAGCAGCCAGTGCTCTTAACTGCTGACCCATCTCTCTAGCCCCATCTGAGTGACTGTGTAATACCTTTGTTTGGACACCTCTGTTAAGACTACTTTTTTCCTACCTCTTTTTCTGCTAATTTGAAGAGAAAAATTGTCTACCATCAAGAATGACCCTGGGGTTACTTACCTGGAGTTACATACCTATTTAAATCCATATTTTCTGTTTGGCTGGAGAGGAAATTAGAACTCATATATTTCAGGGATCCCAATGAGAGAATACAGTTTTAAAGAGCATTGTGTACTTGGTTCCAAAGTTCCTCTTCTTCCTTGTATTCTAGGAACCCCTAAAACGATGCTTTGATAGTTTAGTCAATGAATTTAAAGAGAAGGCAGATAGGATGGTAATGGGGAGAGAAACTGTTTACTTCCACTTCATTCCATATTAAGTCATAAAACTACTCATTCAGCAAGTGCGCATTGATTTCTCCAGGGCCAAGCATTTTGATAGCTTGTATGAATTTTGAGATGAATCAGAAAAGCAGTAGTGTCTATACTTAGTATTTATACCAATTAGTTCATCCTAGAGTTGCTGACAAAGAGTCAAAGAGAAAAATATCATTTGACCTGGAGTTTACTTCTCTACAATAGAAAAACTACTGTATTACAGAATAGTATGGGAAAAGCTAAGCCGGTACCCACCACCCTGTGCTTTCCTCGGCACTTTTAGATTCATAGCCATCTTCTCCCATGGCTCACCATTTCAGCCTTTCTGGTACCAAATTAAGATTCTTCAACTGAGGTGTCTGGTCCTCTGCTTGAAGACAGTAATTCACGATCTTCTCCTCCCTCCCCTCTGTGACTCCTTTCAGTTATGCTATCGAGTTGTAAATGAGGAAAGCAGTCTTTTGAGAAGTGTCTGTATCAAGGGATACAGCAAGATTGGTTATTTGACCATTGACTGGTATTAGAAACCATCTGAAGACCTCCTTGGAAGGTGGACAGGCGCTCCAGTCTGCGCTGATATGCTGCTGCACCATCAGTGGAACTCTCTCTTGCTAGATTTAGAGCATTAGTGTCTCAGTCCAGCCTAAGTCCAGCCATTTTCCTTCTTTCTTATATGTATTAAATTGTGCTTAATCTTCCCTGACGTCCAGGCTCTCATACTGAACCATGTTTTCATAGTTTCTGTACATGAGTAATGTACAGAAAACCCAGCCATGAACATTTCAGTGTTCTGTTTAACTTTGGAAAGAGCACCTCCCAGTTCCCTGCCAGCGTGCCCTTCATACTCACCACCATCTCTTCCTGCATCATACCACACATAGTCACCATTTTCTCTAGTTGCTGTCTTAAGTGCTGGTGACAACAAGGTTGGCTTGTCAAGGAAACCCTCAGGAATCTCTTATAGACAGGGCTCGTCGTTTTCTAACCCATGAAACTCCCTTTACACACAGATAATAGAAACCATGTTTACAGACAGGCCAACTAGATGAACGCATTTGCGGACAAACAGCACACTCGGGAACAGTTGGAGAAGGTACAGTATTAGAACAGGACTCATTGCCTACTTATTTGTAGGAATCATATTTACAGAGTGATCAGTGTCATCACAGTCAGCCATCATTTCCATCACAGAGGCCTCAAATGCTCATCACATTTATAAAATACCTTCTTTGCTGTCAGCTAGCTTGCAGTATTTTCTCTTTCACTGCTGATTCACTCCTTGGGCTCTCTGGCCCTAGCATCTTGTAGCCGTTTCTCCTTGGCCTTGGGGCCCACAGCAGACAAACAAAACCTTTTAATCTACTCTCTGTCCTCACATTTCATCTTGGCCTACATGGCTCCTTCAGGCCTCCCTGTGATCCAAGCTTCTGCACACATTTCTTCTTTCCTAAACCCTGTGCTTTATACTGAACCTATGCTTTATTTATACCTGACTCCTCAGTACAGTTACATGTCACAGTTCTGTGTGTTAGTACTTGATCTTTCCTCCATCTAGACAGACTCTTACTTGTTCGCTGACTTCCTACTCATAGATGTGGAATACAGTTGCTTGTAAACAAAGGTTTACATACTTTTTAAATGAACTAATCAATGGACAAAAGAATGTGCAAATAAGAATGTGTAAGTAAATGCTGATCCTCCCTAGCTCTCCCTTACCATTCAGTCTACATCAGCTTTTCTCTGCTCTGAAAAAAAGAGCTTTATCTCCTGGGGCATTTGAATCATACCCTTTCCCCTCACCCCATCTCCAAAGTGGGAGCAGGAAGATTGTAAGAACCAGAGGTCAGGGAGGCTGGGGTGAAACAGTCCTGGATATGACAGGACAGATCTACTCTTGGCCTTACAGCAAGTACAAGATCTACGCAAGATCAGACCAGTCAACCTTCCAGCATGGAGCAGGGAGGGACTCAGGAGCCTCTACACCTAGCTGAGGAACTATTGATAGTCAACGGCTGCTGGGGGGGAAGAGTCAGTTTTCCTTAGGAGTTTGGTTCCTGGTAGGTCAACCATGCTCCAGTGGATGGCCTCATACCTATGGGCAGCATAAACTGAACTCAGCACATAGGTTTTTAAAAAGAGGTTAGGTGTGGTAGCACATGCCTTTAATTCTAGCACTTGGGAGGCAGAGGCAGGCAGATTTCTATGAGTTCCAGGCCAGCTTGGTCTATATAGCTAGTTCCAGACCAGCTGGGGCTACAAAGGAATTCTGTCCCAAAAGAAAAAAAAGGACATAATGTTGGGAGGAGTTAAGGAAGGAATGGGAGATGACTATAATAGAAATACATATATAGCATAGCAATAGAATATGAAATTCTCCAAGATTTAATAAAATATATTTAAGAAAGAATGTTCTGTAGAAAGCAATAGTAATAATTTAGAGTAACACTGAATACTCTGTTCCATTCCCTTGAATATTCACAATGCATAATTTACTTTAAAAGCTCTGACTTAGTCTTATAATAAATAGAAAACAAATCCCAACTTCCCTGGAAGAAGTAGCCCTCTCTACAATGATATCTCTCACATCAAAATCTTTATTTGTCAAAGAAGCTTTCAGCATCTGCAACTGCATTGTCTATTTTTCACTGTATACTGGCTCTTTCCCTGTTAGAATATGCATTCCATGAAGATCAAGACCTTGCTTGTCCTGTTTACAATGTACAACCAGACCTTACCATAATGCCTAGGCATATAACAAGCACTCAGAATAAGGATTAAGAAATGTACACAACTGGTTCATCTTTGTTAACTTTGCATTTTTTTAAAAAATCGTGGAAGGATAGATCTAGCATTTGAACAAAGTGTTGCTCAAGTCCCATCTACTTTTGACCCTATGGTGTGTGGTCTTTTGCCATAACCTAGGTTCTTGATAAGAAAGCTTTTCTCCTAGGCATTCTTACTTTGTGTTACCTCTTGAAACTTAAACTACTATTTTTTATGTGTCTAAATCTCTTTGTTTGCATTTTTCAGGCAAAGACTACCACCCAAAAATGTTTACTACTACCGTTGCCCAGACCACAGGAAGAATTATGTGATGTCCTTTGCATTCTGTTTTGACCGAGAAGATGATATTTACCAGTTTGCTTACTGCTACCCATATACGTATACTCGCTTCCAGCATTATCTTGACAGCTTACAAAAGAGAAACATGGATTACTTCTTCCGGGAGCAGCTAGGCCAGAGTGTGGTAAGGCTGGTATTATGTTTGGGATAGTCATTTAGAAATAGGCAGTGCTGGAGCGGGGAGTTAGCAAAGGGGTTTTATAGGATGCAAATATGAATGTTACTGTTCTATAGGACTATATGCTTTGGAGTGTTTATGAATTTATTAATATTAAATAATACTGTGATTTAATTATTCTAGACCTAATAATAATTACATACTATATTTTAAAAAGATTGTTTTGAAAGTGTGATTCATTGCTCTAAGGGCACCAGGAAGTAACAGAATAAAATTTGAGTCAGTGATTGTTTCTCTGAATGAACCTGAAACAGCTCTCTTACGAAAGTTCTGCAGGATTCCAAAGTCTCTGAGAGAAAAGGTGTCTATTATGTGTCACAAGAGGCAGGAAAGCATTTTATGATAGTGAACCTCTGGAATGGGGAATAAATGTGTTTCTTTGTGAAATTTGCCTTGAGTACAGGTTAAAAAGTGGTACGCTGATCACAATATACTCTGTGTCTGCCCTCTGTCAGTTCCCAACCCTTCTTCCCATCTACAGATTTAGTTTCCTGGGTCTCAAGATTTCAATCTTCCAATCCATAATAGTTTTTTACTGTTCATGTGACAAATTACTCTGAACTAGGTGACTTAAATACAAATTTATTACCTTGTAATTATGGAGATTAAAAGATCAGAGTAGGTCTCACTGGACTAAAGTAAGGATATTAGCAGATCCACTTTCGTCTCAAGGCTCTGGAGAAGAATGCTTTCACTGCCTTTTCCACCTTCCAGAAGCTGCTTCCATTCCTTGGTTTGTGGGTCCCTTTTTTTTCAAAATTATAAATTTATTTTTAAATTATTTATTTAATAACCACATGATTAGAAGTTGAATTAATGCAGTTATACAGTATTGAACTCAGTATAAACCTTGTAAGATATAAAATTGAATGAGGTTTTACCCTTTAAGAAAGATCTCCATTTCATTAAAAAATATACTGTTTCCTACAGAAAAAATCTCATTTTAATGCTACTAACACTTAGATGTTTGCACATGTGTCTCTAATCTCTATCTATCTGATTATTACTAGTCATAGCTGGTTACACTCTGATCCTTGGCACCTGAGTATGGAAATAAAGTCATCAGGTAGATTTCAATGGCAATGTTTTTCACATCTCCTAATTAACACGAAGCAAATTTTTATGCTTCTTTCTCAAATATAACTCATTTCCTTCTATTTTGAAGTCATTGATGACTGTTGGGTCTCTCTCACACTGCATCACTCTGATGTTAACTTTCCTGAATCCCTCTTTCACTTGTGTCTTTATGATTGAGTTGGACTCACCAAAAATAATCCAGGATCATTTTCTCATCTTAATATATTTAACTAAATCATACCTGTAAACTACCATGTGTCATGTAAAGTAACGTACTCACAATTTCTAGGACTTAGGACATGAGTATCTTAGGGAGGGGTTGCATTATTTTACCAGAAACATTTTTTGCCCCTTTGGTATCTTCCTCTTTCTCCTGCCCAAACAGACCTTGAAGTTTTTCTGCTCACTGACCACCTAAGTTTTGCTCCTTATTCAGTATGTTGGTTGATAGAAACAAGAAAAAAACATAGAATAATTTAGTTTTATGTTGCATTATGTAAATCTGTATTGTGCCTTAAGAGAGCTATATTGAACTGTTCTTGGAGGCGCCAAGTAAATACAAGGACGGAATTGGAAGAAGACACTAGGGCTTTTGGCATGTCTTGGTGGAGAAATGTACTTTGTCTAGTGACTATAGGTTTTATATATGAGTCTCACTTTTAAATAAATCCCCCAGAAAAGAGTAATAAAGAAGGTATATGTATGGCACAGGTTCTGGAGAGTCAAATCTGATCACAATAATATTCTGGTAGTCTGAGGTTCTCTATCCTCTAAAATCTTGCCTCCACTCTAACCTTCTTCCCCACAGTGTTTCTGGTGGGTGCCATTTATATCTGATACCCATGTGTTGAACTAAAATTGGCACACATGGTGTATCAGCATGCTAAAAGGTAGTAGATGGTAGGCCAAAATAAGGATATCTCAGGTAAGATTTAATTTACAAGGTGTAGACAGTATTTAGGAAATCATATGACACAATGAAGTTTCCTAGGGCCAGTAACAGGTCAAAGGGTTTGAAAATAGGGAATGGTTGTATTTAAGAAACACAGTTAACCTGAGATTCCATCTCAAGAAGTAAGCTGAGAAAAACAAATACAATCATAGATTGTTTAATTGCAAGAATATGCACTGAGAAAGGCCACCTTAGGTGATTTTGTGAAAGCATCACAGAGTGTTCTTACACAAACTAAAATGGGTATGTGCAGGGGCTGGAGAGATGGCTCAGCAGTTAAGAGAACCGGCTGCTCTTACATAAGACCCAAGTTTGATTCCCAGCACCCACATGGCAGCTAACAAACATCTGTAACTCCAGTTCCAAGGGATCCAATGTCCTCTTCTGACCTCCGTGGGCATTGCATGACACAGGTGCACTTACACACATGCAGACAATTCACTCATACACATAAAAAATAAAAATAATAAACAAATTTTTTTCTAAATAGTGAAAAGTAAAATGGGTATGGCAGTACTAGGTGATGTAATCTCCAGGGGCCACCAGTGACTATGTGCCTGCCGTTGACCAAAATGCAATGTATAGCAAGACTATAGGTGGTCCTCCTTCTCTTACTTCTCTCTGCCCTCCCCATAAGGCTCCCTACTGCCCAACCCAACTAGGAACCAGAAGGCAAGACAGGCCATTGATGTACCTCTCACAGATCATCCTGCCAAGGGAGAACAAAGCATGGACAAGGGTACAGAGTGGATACAGAGGGGCAAAAGGAGCTTATCAAACACAATTCTATCAATGATGTGTTACTAGAGATAGTGAGATTATTTGAAATTGAGTGGTTTAAGAGAGTCCAAGATAAATTTTACAACATATATGAATTGATAGATAACTTAAGAAAAAGAGATATTCATTTAATATCCATGCTTTTAAAAAGAGAATCTGTAAATTTCCCTCATTTGTCCACCGAAATCCCCTTTATACCAGACAGAATATAGGTACTCATTGACTGGCTATTGAGTAGGTGATTGAATTAATAAAAGAATTACTTCCAAAACAACAGAAAGCTGGTAAGAGAGATAATAAATTATCAGAAAATAACAGCTAAAGTAACAACATAAATGATATGGAAGTTTATTTCTTCTCTATGTAAAAATCTAGATTCCGGTAGTCTACAGTAGGTCTTGTGTCTCTGTTCTTGGAAGCCTCAGGGAATCAGTGTTCTCTCAGCTTTATCTTTCTGTCATTGCTAGGCAGTGTTCTTCAACCTCATGATCCAATGTGGAGTTCTACCATTTCATCCATGTTCTAGGCATAAAGATGAAGGGAGTAGGATAAAGAAAAAGAAGCAGTTATGTGGCATGATACTCAGTAGAGCTCATATTCTTATTTAAGTAAAGGAAGGGTAAGAATTGAAGTCTTTTTCCTGAGTGGCCATGTCTCATCTAAAAACTAATGGTCATATAGCTAATTTGGATGGAGAATAATTTGATGTTGAAAAACAACTAAAGTTTCTGCCACAGAAAACCTCATTTCTGCTTCCACCTCTAGCATGAATTGAACTTGTATGACCTTACATGTTGCTTCCCCTTTCTTGGGATCATTTTTTACCATTATCATAAAGTAAATATTAGACTTGAATGGAGGGTCTCAAATTATTCTTTAAGGAGTTTCTCAGAAAAAAAAAAAAAAGAACTTAGTTTAGATACTATAAGAGCCATGGGAGGTTTGTACAAACCTTGGTATTCTAGAAATGAAGGTATTTTATACCAGAGGAAATATGCATACCTAAGTAATTACAATATTTTAAAGTACATAATTAGAGAGATCATGAATTGTTTAAAGAGTTAATGACCAGAATAAGTATCACGCAGAAGATGAGCTTTAAGCTGAGTCATTAAAGATTAGTAGGGTTACTGAATACAGAGTTGGGAATCAGGTATCCTAGAAAACAGAGAGGACTGCAGTCATTGCATGTTGATTGCCTGATTGGAATGGGGAATTCACACTAAGGGCTTCTGGAAGATTAAAACAGGTAGGATGGCTGGAGTCAAACTCTTGGAAAGCCCTGGTTCTCATATTGGCATTATCCTGTTTTCAGATGTTGGTCTGTTTCTTCATATAAATAGCTCTATTTACTTCTTACAATAGTTTATGGATGGGAAAAAATGTCCCAGGAATTAAATAAGGCTAAAATTTAAGTTGTTTTGCCAAAGCCACATAGTTAACTTACATCAGAGCCAACATTTAAACTAATCCTTAATTCTGACATTATTTCCTAACCCTCTGATAAGCATATTGAGACTCTAAAAGAACTTTGCTAAAAGAAGTCACCTTATCCGAAGCAGCGTCTTAAGGAAGTAAATGTAATTGCTACTTAAGGTGTACCTGTGCCAGCTGAACTAGATGGGGAGCTCTGTGGATTGATTCAGTCTCCTCATGTTGAGACTTAAGGCAGATAGTAGAGAGTTTTACAGTTTCTGGCATACTTTTATAGGCAGGATGACTCTTGGTTTCTAGGGTATTTGGTGTGGCTTGTGTCTGAGGCCCAACTATAATTAGTTAATTCTTATCCCAATTTGGAGGGAGGATAATTACAAGCAAGAAGGATAAATATGCCAGCATGAAGATCTAAGAGAGAGCAGAGAAGAAGCAAACTTGGTTTTTAAGCTCTGGAACTGTTAGTCATCGTGATCATGGCCCCCAGCCGTCTTAGCGATCCCGATGACATTTCATCTTGTTATTACTCATCACTAGTACTTCTAATCCAACAAACCAAAACTCTTTTGTAAATAAAGACATCTTGGGAAAGATATTTTCTGTGATTATTATCTTCTTGACATATTACCTTCATTGAGGTATAAGGTATGATCTACATATCATAAAATGTACCAGTGCTAATGATATAATAGTATGATTTTTG